GAGCATTGGCATGTGACACTGCAAGCATGACTAAGCTGACTGATGGAATCTACTAATCCATAATAGGAAATGTAACGCTTGACAGACAAACTTCATTATTCCGTAATAGGAAATGTGACGCTCGATCGAGAGTCCAACCTTCGCTATGTTGGATGACATGCCACGGCTACAATATTAATCAAAATTGAATAAATTTGGCTCGGAATACTAATTCGAGCCTTAGAAAGGGGCACGTAATTTAGTTTAGCCGAGAAATGTGCTGGTGGCTTTTAACCCCAAGTCGAATTTGCCTTCTGGAATTAATACCAGTGGTAATTGGTACAGTAAGTTAACTATTTTGAGCTTTAGTATGAGCCAGCGCTAACTGAACTAAGTTAGGCCCAGATTTGTCAGCCTTTCACCCCAACAACCAGGCTCCAGAAATAATAACATTGCAATCTCATTCTGCTAGCATCTACATCATCAGAACAGGCTTATTGTCATTACAGCGACGTTACCCCAAACTTACATTTCATGAGATTCGACACAGCAATCAGCCAAGTCACGCGCTGGCTTCAAGATATACCTATTAATTTTCAGAATCCTGAGACCTCAATCCAAGTCAAAAGTCACGCTTCGTCAAAACGGAGAAAACTGTCAGACTCAGACCCTTCATGCGCATCAAAGCGCCGACTACTCTTATCTCCACCCGCATCTTTAAATCAGGTGGAAATGGATTCTTTGCCAAGGGCAGTTTCGACACCGAAAAAGCGACAAGCTGCCGATGACGCGAACCGAGATAATGACGATGAAAATGACAACGACCAGACACCACGAGGTGACCCTAGAAAAGAAAAGTCAAGAGGGAAGAGCACAGGAACCAGTGCTTCATCTCACACCAGCAGCACGTATTCTCGGAGTAGCAAGCGCTCCAGAGGATCTCAATCTCCAATAAAAATGTGGCCTCTGGAAGGACCTCTCGGCCATAAGCTAATGCGGGCAAATCCATTCGGCCATCACGTTCCGGCAGTTCAGGAGCTCATTGACCAGTTTGATGCAGTCAACAGAGGACGCTCCATCATGCCCAAATCTCTCTATCAGAGCCTCAGAGATGTTGGCGTGGGAAGATTATATGATGACATGTTTTTCGAGCAAGACACCGCGGCAGATAGGCCTTGTGATAAGGACTTGGTTCGGTATGCCCAGCGCATCGCTCAGCATTCAAATACATGCGCAAGCCAGCTGCAAGATGAGGGAGCATGGAACAACCTCGTGCATTCCCGCTTATTAGACTTGTTTGTTCACGACATGCAAGACGGACCAGACCATGATATGATTGACTTTCTGCCTTGGTAAGCATGGCACTTGACGGAACTACGGGATATTGTCTCTGACCTTTCTAGTTTGACAACAAACATGAACCTCAGTTATCATCGCTTCAGCGAGCCGACCAGCCGGGTTGATTACATTATCCGCATACTGCACGAGTCTCAGGATGATGATGTAGGAGACCATGAACCGCTCCAGTGGTTTGACTCTAACAGGATGCCATTGTTGAATTGGACCACCAGCCAGTTACTCCCTATAGCCTTCAGTATCGAGACTAAGCGTTACGGTGGTGGCGTTGCGAAGGGTGAGCAACAGCTAGGTATATGGAACGCTGCGCAATGGGAATTCCTTATATCAAAAGCCGGAGAAAAGGCTGTCAAGGAGCTTGACTTCATTCCAGGCGTTGTGGTGGAGGGGCATACCTGGTCTCTTGTTATCACTACAAGGCACCTGAACAGAACGGTATGTGAGATATTCTTTCTCTGACACGTAGATTTTGCTGACTAACATATAGAATGTTTTCCCGGGCATTCAATTTGGAAACACGCACTCGATCATTGGCGTATTCCAGGTTATTGCCGGTCTGCGAATACTACGCACCTGGGCCATAAAGACGCTCTGGCCATGGTACAAAAAATACCTTCCGGGTATGGGCCAACCTAGTGCAAGGGACTTGGTGACGGTGGCAGGACTTAATGAGAGCCGACTGATTTGAAGCTAGTATTGAAGCGAACATATAGCAGATAATTACAGATGTTTCTCCGTTCACAATATAACTTGACTCTGGGATAATCAGAGCCGAAACTCTGGAAATAAACCTGGAAATAAACCTTCGTGTTAGTAATAAATTCCTGCTTTGATCTCCTCTTCACGATCTCGCACTCTTTATGCCTTTTGCAGCCTGAGACTGGCGAAACAGTCTAAAGGTGTTGCTACGATGGCATCTACTGAGTAAATCCATGATGAATGGCTTTTTCAGGGAACAAGGTCAGTGCTGGCTGATACGGGAAGAAGGACTGCAGGCAGGTTTTTAAACAACCTGCAAACCTGCAGAATATCACGATGAAATCGATCCGCTTCATCGTTCGGAATTAGCATATCGATGTCGCGGGCTTTCCGGAAGCCAAATTGGTTGGGATTTTATCTTATCTTATATCTAGGGATGTTTTCCGTTCTGCCGCTGCTGTTGCACGCGAATTCATGGATCTCGACGACCTCGAGATTGCCAGTCTGCATAGTCCTGCGAAACCATCAACAGAGCGTCAGCTCCCTCTCNCCCGGGTGTACGCACTGGCTGAACTCTACGACATACCTGCCTTGAAAGCGACGGCGCTCGAGAAGTTCAACAGGACCATACAAGACCACTTCCATCCAAATCGATTCCTGGACGGTGTGGAAGAGGCATATGCGTTCGACAATACAGGAAGATAGGGGGCTACGAGACATAATTGTCCAATTTTTCTATAAACATCCAGATTTACTAAAGCAGGAACGAGTAACAGATATTCTCCAGAAGGTACACCCTTCAACATTTGACTTGTTTATGTACCGGCAGGAAATGCGGTCAAAATAATATCCTCAGATTATAGCAAGAATAATCTCTAGTATCATCACTACAACTACAGGGCCTTTGTAGCGTTTCCTAACTCATCCCTAAACATCGGTCTCCGCCTTGGAAGCATAAGCCCGCTGTATCAGTGTCCATCGGTGCTTAGTATCCAACTCTATCTCCGTTTTAAATGTCACCTCTGCCTTGTCCAGAGCATCTCGAATTTCTGACCCAGCCACTTCCTGGCTTTCCTTCATGCTGTTTTCGTTTTCAACCAGGATCGCCCTCTTCCTGTCACGCAGTTTGGCTTCTTCAGCTGCAATATACGCCAGCTTTTTCTCTAGCCGGACTTGCAACTGTGACTTTTCTTGATTCAGTTCGTCGCATGCCTTTTTCACCTTGAGCCTCAGGCTTCTGACGAGGTCCCGGTACTGGTCGACCTGTAAAACATCCAGAAGCCTCTCTGCAACGCCAAGCAGCTCTGTTATTTTACTTGACTCCATGTTACGACGACGGACAGCAGCGTTGCGAATCTCGATCCCTGACTCAAACAATTTCTTAAGTTCTTCGTCAGTGGCATCTGTAGTGAAAGCAAGCCGTCGATTGAGGAATTGCTCCATCCAGTCACTCAGCTGTGCGGCCACAGCGCAGTCCCAGCATTGCTCCTCCAGAACATCTTTCATGTGTTTGCGCGCATAGATATAGCAAGCTCGCTCAAGATACTTCTGTAGATCGACCATAAGCTCGTGCTGGCTGCTGAGCGACAGGCGCGCTGCATGTCGATCGCCTTGGGCTCGTCGCTCAAGACCTGGTTGTCCATCGCCCTCTGGAACTGTATGATATCAGTTAGTATGCTCTGACGTTTTCCAGTTCCGCCACATAATCGTTAGAACCACGTACAATTTACTGCATTGGCTGGGGCCCCTTCTGTCAGAACAGCTTCCCCTATAAGGTCCTCTGCATCTCCAGAAGGCTCAAGGATCAACTCGTCCGGGTTGACCGCTCCAATGACCCTATCTTCTGCTACCGTCTTACCTACAGCCTTGACTGCAGGAATATCGCCGCCAAGGTCAGGAAACATACGCTGTGCGGTAGAAGGATTTGCAAACACTCCATCGCTTGCCAGCTTCTTCACCCTGGCCTTTAAACCTTCCATACCATACTTTCCGATGAGCTGTCGGACATTTTCTCTCTCCTGTCGGTTCATAACGACGATATCGCTCTTTTTCTGCCCGGACTTGATGCTTTTCGTCAGCGATTGGACGTCCTTGAATGCCATATAGATGTCTTGGTTCTCAAGCACACTTCCCGATGCAGCTACAGCGGCTTCGTTGATGTTCCCCGCCTGTCTGCCGATGGGCTGTTCATATGCACAACAACGACTGCATATTGCCTCCCCAGACTGGGCATCCCGAGAGAGTGTGATGCTGCCACAGATGTCGCAGTGAGAACAACACTTTAATTCAGTTGAAGGAGTGGTCATAATGTTCCGGTGATGATCTCCGATTAGGGCGTTATAATATTTTAGAAAGATAGAAGTTGCTATTACTTGATGATTCAGAAGCGGGGGTTGAGAGACATTGGTCTATATGTACCCTGCAGCACGATATCTCAGCCGTGATACATGCTGCATGGATGCCTGGGCGCCTAACTCTTGAATCAGGCTCTGCAGGCCAACACAATCTGTGCGTCTATCCAATCAACTTCATCTCTTTAGCATCAAACCAACAGCGCACTTGAGATCATTGACTCGTCCGCCAAGTCAGCTCATGCTAATATACCAACCCGCGGAGTATTGTGCAATGCAACTGCTGTAGCCCCGTTTACCATATGCAGTACTCCAGAGCTGAGTGTAAAACCGTATCTGGACTAAAAACCCAACGTTACGGGGCGATCCAGAACCGACTGCTTATACCGCTTTCCAGCTCTCAACCTTCAGCGTCGAGATTATGTCTTCTCAATTAACAGCTGGCCGCTTATGAACGGCCACATTCGTCTGCTATTGCCATCGAAGTTGTTACGTTCTCAAAGCCCCGCATCTCTTACTACCCCGCCCTGCTCGGCGCCCAATGAAGGAAGGGTTGGGAAGCCTTCAGGGCCTAGACTCCATAGGTTTCTTGCCAGCGTTGATTGAGAAAATGCAGTCACTTCCCCTTTCATCCGTCCCAATGCGCCTGTCCAATAAGGGTTGAAAATGTGCAGCTATTTCATCCATGCTCAATGCGGCCGCGCAACCA